TGTACATGCTAGGCAAGTGCCCTACCATTGACCTACACTCGCAACCCCTTGAAAGTGATAATTTCTAGTGTCCTATAATGGTTTTATGCTTTTTAGATTTTATTTTGTTTTTTGAGATGGGATCTGACTTTGTATTCCAAGTTGGCTTTAAACTCACTATGTAGCCCAGACTGGCTTTGAACTCATGGCAATTCTGCCTCAGCCTCCTAAGTGCAAGGATTACAAACATGTGCCCCATGTCTGGGATGCTGTTATGTTAAGTGTTTCTAAAGACCTTTCCAAACGGAAGTAAAATGCAATAGAAAAATGCAATTATACTTTTGTACTACTTTCATAAAAAACATTTCTTACGTGATTTCTCTGAATGCGAATTATAGAAAAATGAAAAAGTGTAAAGTATTTTCCTTACTTTAAGGTATCAGGAACGATGAGAATGGCATAGATGAGGTACAAAGTCTGCCTGGTCATCAGAACTCTAGGTAGTTTAATATTTTAAAAGATTGGTCTTTTAATATTTTAAAAGGTGGGCTCAGTGGTGCATACTTGTAATCTCAGCTACCTGGAAGACTGAGTCAGGAGAAGTGTAAGTTTAAGGCCATCTGGGCAACTTAGCAAGACTCTGTCTCAAAGTGAAACAGTAAAAGGGCTGGAGGTGTACTTTAGTGGTAGAATGATTGCCTGTATACACAAGGCCATGGGTTCAATCTCAAGCATCGCAAAAAAAAAACAAGCCTGGACCGAACCCCTAAAGACTGATGAGTAGTGATGAGCTGACAGCCGTGTAGGGGTTTGTTTTTTTTTGAGGGGAGTACTAGGGATTGAACTCAGGGCCTCAGGTATGCTAGGCAAGTGCCCTGCCACTAAGCTAGACCCTCAGCCCTGTTTGTTGTTGTTTAAATAATTAAAAATTACCCATCCATACAAGTGCAAAATAGGGTAATCAGGTCAAAAATTTTCCTGCAGCCTGTTTTTGCTCCTCAGAAGCAACCACTCAGTTTACCTTTTAATCTTGATATTTGCTGTGTATGCACAAATTTATACTCTTTTCTTTTTATTATTTGTTTTTTTTTGAGACAGAGTCTCACCATGTAGTTCAGGCTGGCCTTGAACTTGTGATCCTCCTGCTTTAGCCTCTCAAATGCTGGGATTACAGGTGTGGGTCAGGTTGCCTGGCTGATATATTGCCTTTAAAGAAACCTTTTATGTGGACTAAAAGCTGTTTTTTTTTTGTTGTTGTTGTTTTTTTTAAAGCTGTTTGTATTCTTTTTGTTTTTTGTTTTTGTTTTTTTTTCTGGTACTAGGAATCAAACTCACAACCTTGTGCTTGCCAGACAGGCACTGTGCCGCTGAGCTAAATCCTCAGGCCAAACTGTATTCTACAGGAAGGTTTTTGAAGTTGACGTGAACAAATCTCTGGTATAAACTCTTGGTAAGAATGTTGGCTAAGGGTTGTAGCTCAGTGGTAGAGCACTTGCCTAACATGTCCAGAGCTCTGGATTCACCTCCACCACTGCAAAGGGGAAAAAGCTTTGGAAGTAGATCTGGGTTTGAGTTCAAACTCCTACCTTTCTATGTATGTGATCCCAGATGTGTTAGCTTCCATGAACCTTAGTTTTTAAAATCCTGTTAGGAATAATACAGAACTTTCCCTCTAGGATTGTGTTAGCAGTAAACTAGTACAGCCAGGTGTGGTGGCATATGCCTGATTCCAGCACTCGAGAGGCTGAGGCAGAAAGATTGAGTGTTTCAGGCCAGCCTGTGTTACATAGTGAGACCTTGTCTGAAAAAAAGATATATAGGGTTTGGCAAATATATACACTAATGAAATCTGAAGAATTGAATGAAAAAGTATGTCCTTAAAGTTAATAAAGGAATACTTTAAATTAAAGAAGAGGCTGTAATCCTAGCACTTGGGAGGCTGAGGCAGGAGAATTTTTGCAAGTTCAAGACCAGTCTGGGCTAAAAGTGAGCTCAAGGCCAGCCTGAACCGCATAGTGAGACCCTGTCTCAAAAAGACCAAAAAAAAAAAGAGGAAGTACTTGTAGATATGTGTAGTGATCCAAATCCTTTTAAGTACTTGCTGCAATGATTATTATTATAGACAGTCCACCCTGAACCATAATTACCAAAAACAAGTTATTGATTCATATTCTCTAGGTTATCCAGACTCAGGATTGATTCTGCTCCATTTTTTGTGAGTTGGATAGACAGGAGGTTGTGTTTAGCTGTGAGCTTGCCTGGGGCCAGCATGGCCAAAATGTCTTCACCCATGTTTGGTGCAGAGTGGGCTGACTCAGTTGCTTTTTCTGTGTGGTTTTATTACTTAGTAGTTGAGCCCAGACTTCTTTACATAGAGGCTTCATCCCAGAGGGCAAAAACAGAAGCTGCAGAGCTTTTTTTGTTTGTTTTTGTTTTTTTTGTTTTTTTTTTTTTTCTGGTACCGGGAATTGAACTCATGACCTCACGCTTGCCAGGCAGGTGCTGTGCCACTGAGCTAAATCCCCAGCCCCTTGCAGAGCTTGATAGACAGGCTCAGAAGTTATGGTTTCACTTGTTGGACATTCTGGTGGTCAGAGTATCAGGAGCCAGCCCGGAGTCAAGGCAGAAGCCTGGTATAGTGCACATCTGTAATTTAAGCACTTTGGAGGCTGAGGCAGGAGGATCATTGTGAGTGCAAGGCCAGCGTGTGCTACATAGGGGAACCCAGCCTCAAAAACAACAACAAAACCCAACAGATTCAAGGTGGAGGCAAGGCTTTATATGTTCTGCCAAGAGCAAAGACGTGCAGTGACAGGGACATGAGAAAGTGTTGGGAGAGGTAGACAGCCTGGCACAGTAACATCACTCGTGCTTGTCAGAACCTCTGGTATATTCAGCAAATGTGCAGTTAAATTAGTAGGTGCTTGTTAAGTAAGTGGATTATGGAGTATTTTATTATGGAGATAAGTGAGTATTTTACCATCCTGGCTCTTCTGCTCGAGCATACAACAGTGAGTTTTCCGAGGGGTAGCTGGGAGGGGCTGTGTGGAGAATGTAGAGGTTGATTGATCTGTGAGTGGCTGTGATATGTATATGATTTGTGGGACTGGAATGGAGAAAATAAAATCCAGTGCTTGAGTCTGGTAAGTGTAAGGAGCTCTGAAAAGTAGACAATAGGATAGGTGATTGTTAGTAAGGAGGAAAGTAATAGGTCAATAGGTATTTATAAGGTACTTCCTGCTGTCAAGATACAAAGGCCTTTTTTTTGAGGACAGAATGATATTGTTTGTGTTTTGCAACATTATGTAACATTTTCAATAAACACTGAACTATTATGTGCAAAGGTATTTGGAAGAACATACCAAGCCGTGCAGGCGTGGTGGTGCATGCCTGTGATCCCAGCACACGGCTGGCTGAGGCAGGGGGTCACTGTGAGTTCAAGGCCAGCCTGGGCTCCATAACGAATGCCTGTCTCAAAGAAACAAAAACCAAAAAGAATAAATCACTGAGGCAGGGTTGGTTCCTTCATCCTACTTGTGTAGAATATGTATGCAAACAAAATATGAATTTGAATATGATAATTATGTAGGAAAATTAGGGTTCTATGAGGTGTTTTTTTAGAGGATAAGAAAAAGTATTTTGAAGAGGGGGCACTTGAAGTAAGTCTTGGCAAATTACAGCTGCTAGAAATGGGAAATCATTGTGTAGGTGTAGAGAGGAGGAACACCTGTCCCGTTCTCAGGGGAGCAGGAATGGCAGGGAGGCTTCCTGGAGGAGGCAGCCACTGGATTTTCTTAAAGGTTTTTTATTTTGGTGGCACTAGGAATTGACCCCAGGGCCTTCACACTGAACTACACCCCCAGTCCTTTTTATTTTGAGACTCACTAAGCTGCTAAAAAATTTTTTTTGTCTTTTTGAGACAGGGTCTTGCTATTCAGTTTAGGCTACACTTGGACTCACTTTGTAGTCCAGGCTGGCCTTGAACTCCCATCGATCCTACTGCCTCAGTCTCTTGAGTGCTGGGATTGCAGTCATGCAACACCACAACCTACCTAAAGTTGCTAAATCATACAAGCTAGGCTTGCAGTTCTGCTTCAGCCTTCCAGAGTGGTTGGATTACAGGTATACCACCACACCTTGTTTAAAGGAGTCTACAGAAAGCAGAGGGTCGTGGGCTTTCCTGGGAGATGAAGCAGAAGCAAGGGCCCAGAGGTGAGAAATTGCATGATGTGCTGACAAAGCTGTGTATGGTATCTGCTAGTGGAGCTACTGTGTGGTCAAGGATAGGGTAGGAGGTGGAAATGAGTTAGGTGATGAAGGTTGTAAAGAACTGTTAACATGTATGCTTTAAAGCTGGGCATAGTAGTGCATGGCTGTGATCCCAGCACTCGGGAGGCTGAGGCAGGAGTATTGCCACAAGACTGAAGTCAGCTTGGCCTATATAGTGAGTTCAAGGCCAGCTTGAACTGCATAGTGACACCCCCATCTCAAAAAAGCAAAAACAAAAAAATTGGAGTTCAGCATACAA